GCGGGGTCCCACAGGGGTCACCGATATCTCCACTTCTATTCCTTCTGTACATGGCAGAACCCATGCGGGATGGGAATCCGGGACGAAGGTTTAGCTACGCCGATGACGTTGGTGTTCTTGCTTTCGGCCGCACAATAGTAGATTCTGCCTCGGCTGCCCAAGAAGAGGTAAATCAACTGACCAGTTGGGCGAAAAATAATGCTATAGCCTTCGACACAGACAAGTCCGAAGTAATCCAATTCCCTGGGCGCCATCGGGAGATAGGAATAGGTATACACATCAATAGTACCTTTATTGAACCATCGGAAAATGTTCGCTGGCTAGGAGTTTACCTGGACTCTCGGCTCAATTTTAAACACCATGTGACAAAATGGTGCGGCAAAGCTGCCAAAGCTGCTCATCATATGCGTCGTTTTAATTCTACTTACCGAGGTGCTGCCCCAGATGCACTGATAAGAGCGGTTGACCTATGTATCATCCCTGTCGCTACTTACGGCTCCGAGGTGTGGTGGCCAGGCCTGAAGCGCCCAACTCAACGCGGAGTCAGCACTTCACAAACGACTGGCCTCTGCAGCATGATTGACAAAGTCATCAGCACAGGATTACGGGCGGCACTTCCAGTAATGAGGACTACGCCCACAGTAGTGCTACAGCGAGAAGGAGGGATCCCGCCGGCAAGAATCATTCTCGAGGGAAATCGACTTCGCCTATCAGCAAGGCTCAAATCCCTTGACTCCGGACATCCTCTGAGAAGACGAGCTGCTGTCTGCCCTAATATTGGGACAAGAAAGTACAAGAAAAATGATCGTCAATCAGCACGACCAGAGATTCAAATGTCTCGAATCCAGCGTGCTTATCAACAACTCCCAGAAGCTGAATCCGCCGAGCCTTTACCGGCTTTGGCCTATCTCAGTAAGGTAAGCGCGAAAGAGAAAGACACGGAAATTTGTAAACGCTGGATAGAGAGTCTACCAAGCTCAGTGATCTGCGCCTACTCTGATGGGGCATCAGAAGGACATGGTCGCTCGGCGTGGGCTTTTGTCTTGAAAAGAGACGGAAAGACCATAGATAGAGATTCCGGTACCATACATGGGGGGGAGGCACTGGACGCTGAGATAGTCGGAGTAAGGAAGGCTCTAGAGGCGGCATTGCGAATAAGTGGGCTGGAATCTCGGACCCCAGGAAAAGTGGCGCAACCTATCTACGTGCTGACCGACAGTCAGCATGCAAGAACCGCTATGCTGTCCGGAGACACATCGACAAGCATTAAAGAAGTCCGAATATTTCGGACAATGACACAGGCTGCTCCCGAAAGAATCATCGTAAAATGGGTTCCAGGACACAAGGGCATTCAAGGGAACGAAGAAGCAGATGCTGCAGCTCGGAGCAAACTCCGAAGTCTCCCCCTCCGAGATGAGGAGCCGCAAAATATCAGCAGTGCATACCTCTACCGGCTTATGAATCAGAAGAGACAGACACTGCTAGACCAATTCTGGGACGAATCATGCCCACCCAGATACCGCGAACTAGACTTGATGATGCGCCGGAAAAAGCCACCGGAACTATCACTTCCACGACGAGTTCTATTTGAAGTCATCGCGGCTCGTACCGGTCACGGAAATTTCGCCGCGTACCACAGACGTTTCAACAACCCAAACGCGAACATGAAGTGTTCGTGCGGAGAGGAGACTACAGCAACGCATTTCATGCATTGCAGACTTTACACTCGTCATACCCGACGACTAAGGGGAACTACCCCATACCAACAATTTCTTAAAATTCTTCTAGGGCCCAAATGCCTCAAAGAATTTTCAACGTTTGTGCAGGAAACTGGCTGCTTCAAAAGCCAACCTGCGACCTTGTCCACAGCTCTCAGCATGGACGAAGAATAATATTTATGGTGGAAACCGTGAAAGGGAAGGAGTCAGGGTGAGGAGCGCTGATACTGGACCGTTATATTGGAATTTCCTTTGTTTATTAATTTTGACTGTTAGAATTTGTTTTTGTTTTAAACTGGCTACAATTTAGGTAGTGGTTTCACGCGGTTGGAATGAGTTGGGCTGTGGTAAAGAACACAGGGATCCCTTCCGGCTCCACCGGTCTTGTACCCATAGCGGACCGGGAGCAGTAGCTTAGGACCTTAAAATTACAAACAAACACACACACAATCGACCACTCGTCCAATGCTCAGCTTATCCCACCACTCACCGCAATCGCAGCTGCCTTATCTCGAGCTACGCTTCCGTGTAGATAGACAAATCCCTGCGACATACGTAATGCAAAACCACGCGCCGATAAGCTAGTCTCGCACTGCTTTGCTGCACGAACTTCTCAACTGACAAGCAGAAGTCGACAAGTCGCTTGACCTCACGATGCGCCACCCACCACATACCACAAAATCTTCCAATCAAGAGACACTTCTACGCTACGTAGTAACTCTTGACGTAAGCGGATTTTTCATTGGGTTCCTGTCCGTACAGAGTATGGTCAATTAATTCATCGCCGAGTGATGTGGAGGCAACGTGAAGGCTGGTCGGCCATACCAATTCATTTATTGGGCCTCACATCACATACCAAGTAGCTAGAGCTCGAAATTTATCGAGTGCCTTTTCCAGATTTCCGGCGATTTGAGCCCTCAACTTGACCCGAATACAACTTCAAAGCCTAGTAGTGGTCCACGACGAAGATGGGTGCTGTAGAATCTATCAAATTATTCATCACGTCAGAAGATGATGCTTACCCACACCTAGCTCCATTAGCTCATTGCTGATACCACTGCCATTGCATGTTCTATTCGGCCCTTTTTCATTTCCAGAACAGAGCAACACCATCAAACCTGGTATTGGCAAGGGAGCGGGGACTAGAAAATTTGGACCAGTGATAATGGCTAGACTAACAATCATGGCAGGCTTGATTGGTTGAAAAAATATGAGACTTCAGGTATAGAATGCAGGAGATAGTTGCGAAGATGATAGCAGTTGACGTATTTACTAATGCCGAGCTATGCAGGAGGGAGATTAAGCACTTTTCTATGCTTATCATCATTAAGAGGGCTCCTATCCTATTCTGTAAAGTTTTTGCCATCTATAGTAGGATCTCGGATAGCCTACTAGTGCGATCTGCTACGTAGAAATTCTACAAAACCTATCGAAAGTTTACTATACGTGTCAGCTTGTGAGTTTGGTACACTCTACGCTAGCTAGCTCAGACTTCAGGCACTGAATAAACCACTAATTATTACAAGCGCTTGGTTCAGCACACTAATGCAAAACCAGCTATTACCTATCGACTGCTCATTCTCAACGGTGATGAGATAGAGACTTAATAAAAACTAGATATGAATAGGACTCGGACTTTTAGTGGGATTTGGTATGTTTCAGTTCTTGGGGTTTGGTTTGTAGTATTTAATTTTATGCAGACACAGAGCTATGACACACGACCAGTGACTTCTATGCATGTAAGATAATTCATCTAACTTCAGATACACTCCTACCCTAGATTTTTTTCGCAAAAATCACTATGGATTACGTTTGCGCACGCTGAACAGTCAACCCTCCTCCGTGGGTATCGACCAAAGTATGTTTTGCTTATTGTAATACTTAAGTCATTGGATATCTAGCACAACCGAACAGAATGAAGCCTCGAAATTTTTGATTTCCAAGCATGCCTTTGACGCCAATATACTCGAGCCCTGTGAGCAATGTGGTTGAGTCTTACTGGATTCGAACTGGCCGTCTCCTGTCTCGTTTGAATGTGCGTTCGAACTACCCAGAACCTACTTGTCAGGTCAGCCCAGATGATGTGCCACTGCACCATGTAACCACGACAGTGTTTGTGGTGTTGCATGTACTAGTTCAATTGAAGTCATGCGGCGGGTTTGGTTTGATGTGTAAAACTCCTTTCCATGTCAGAGGCCTAACCTCCAGAATTTTATTCATGTTGAACACTATCTTTTTTATCTATCCTGGTATCCATCACATCTAATTCAGTGACCCGTCTCGTTAATTTTATTTCTCCCGTGGATCTTCATATCGCCGTGGGCGTATATTTGGTGACCGATTGAGACTAGTAGAGACCAAACGATGAGTCAGCCGAAGGTGTGGTGCTTGAAACGAACTTGTACTAGGTATTTCTTCAAGACTTGTGGTTTTGGCCGGAAAAGATGATGTTTGCAGTGAAATTTTGATTTTGTGTGGAGACTTAAATCATTGCCTCGTATGCCAACTCTAGGTACCAAGAAATTTGACCGAACCTGACTCTGAGAGACTATTTCACTCCCAGGTTTGTAGAGGACACTGCGAACAACAGTTTATTCCTCGTCCAATAGTTGCTAAACTTGTATAGCAGCTAAAGAAAAGTGGCGACAATAATAATGCGCTCTCACAGCATACAGTGGCTTAGGCGCGTGGACTTGAGGCAGCAAAGCTTCTTCCAGCATAAATAGCGCATGAAGAAGAGGATTCAGGACAGAGTAATGTAACCACAAGTAATAGATTTAATTGCTCATAGCAACAAGGGAGGTGATGAAGGTATTTAGCGTATCACAGGTTGCCAGAGACATGCAGTGGCAGGTCATAAAAAGCGCACCCATGTAGAAGATGCAGCCACACTAGATAATCAATTCTGCCGACTATTTATCATGATGGCTGGTGGTAGCGTTGATACACTGGGGTCGAAGGGTGGGTGTAAGAATTTCCGGATCGACTGACGGGTGGACCACGTTAGGTATCCTTGTCTGTGAGAAGAGAGGATTTGGCTGTTGTGTAAAGGTTTTGAGACTGATAATGGTTAACCAGGCCAAGATCGGGCTGACCCCGCTATGCCGCTCATGGAAAGACCCTAAACTAGCATCTGGGCAACAATCCATAAATTCGGGCTCATTCTCGGTGCTTTTGGCACAAATATTGAGTATTGTAATACTGATTCCCGACGCTTTTGTTGTCTAACATCTATCATTTACCATTTACCAATTACGTCTCTTCCACTTCACGCGTAGAAAGATGACTGTCCACGACATCTCGAGGTACATAGAGTCTCGATCCTATACCTAGCGATTGAGCAAAAGGCGAGATACTCGTGTAATTACTGTTGCTGATATGAAGCAATCATAACATAGTCTCAATGAATTCCGCGAAATCTCCAAAAACCACAAAAAGATCATCCTTCAGTTCGCCCCAAGTATGCTTAGGCCCAGTGACTACGTTTCGCCAGTCTTTGATATGTAAGTCTAGAGTCACCAGATAGAGTAATGGATGGTTAGCTTCAGATTCTAACAAATACCCACCGTTTGTAGGCTATCTGATGAAGATACAGATATTTACTTTGTGAGGGCCGATGCCGACCGAGCAGATGACTTGGCAACTGAATTCAAGGTCAAAGCGATGCCGACGTTCTGCTACATCAAAGACGGCATTATTAGGAAAGAAATAGTCGGAGCGATTTCAGCTCGCATAGATGACCTTCTCGCGGTCTACTCATGACCCGATCTCCGTTCAACTCAAACGCTGGAAGTGAAAACAATGGAGGGCTCGAGTAATTCGGGAATCGTGAGGTTTGAAAATTAGATGAAAGCGGAGGGCTTTTGAGCGCATGTTGGTGCTTGGTCCGGGACTGTGTAAAGAACTAAACAAAGCATGAAGCTGGGATTGATAGCACGGCGAAACTTGAGCTCTACTTATACCCCATAGTATCTGCTTGAGAACAAACTACTTGGACCAAGATCTAACTCCTTTCCATCGCTGCGTGCTCTATAGAAAATTGTAGATCTCCAGCGAGTCCTTGAGAGAAGTGATGGTAGCCATCGAAACTGGAGTTGATTAACCGTTTGAACCTGTATATTGGCCCCCAGTATCTGTCGAATTTGTACACTAAGCTTCATCTAGCTACCACGATCTGAGCATAGGTACTGACGCAACTATGCAGGCTGAAATGGCTTATTTTAAGACTACGCTGAACTATAAATTGGACAACTGCAGCTTGTTCAAACTTTCCGTAACCGGACCAATGAAATTGGTTGCCCACCGTATTTCTCGTATCCAAGGTTCTGTAACACTGCTCGCAAGCCACTGCAACCGCGCAACTGCTTCACTTAGTCTACTATTGTATGCTTGTGTTAGATAGCGCAGGCAACAGATGAATAATGCCTTAGAAATCGTCAAACTAGCCCAGGTCTAGACGGAGTCGGCCTACTTCGGCCTCTCGAATATCTCTTCCTTGCATCAGGCGTGGTAGGGGTTACGACGAGGAAAACCACCAACCTCTGCGAACATTTGACGACTGACTGTATCTCAAGTTGTTTGTTCACGCATAGATGTCATGGCTCTCAATGCAGCAGGCGGCACGTTGTATCTAAGCATATCCCGTATTGAGCGGCGATCCATCACAATCAATCCCTAAACTATCATGTACCTCGCGAATCTGTTTCCACTAGTTCCGCATTTTTCTTCTACTCCTCATTCCAACCAACATCACTCGAACCAATCTCCATTCGCTTCACTAGCCGCCTGCTATAGCGCAATCTCTTCTTGCTCCATCACAACTGACCCTTTATCGTTGACGCTTCAGTAGCCATGTGAGTTAGGAGTTTGGCGATGCGATTATTCTTTATTCAATCTCTACTCCTGCCACGCCTAAAATTGTGTAGGTTCTCGGAAACACTTTCCCCTTACGACAAAGAACTTGGGGGCTAATTCAGCGGTAATTTTTTAGTGTTGGTGGACAAAACCCCGTATAATTGAGGAAATATTGTACCTCAACGTCAGTATCGTGATGATAATGAATGAATAGAAAAGTCGAGAGGAATTGGCTGGATTCAAACAGCCAAAAAGGTTTTTGCGATTTTTCCCGGCTGCCATACACCCGTAAGTGGCCATCATTTCGTTGGCTGGAGAGGGGAGATGATGAAGGGCTAAGGGCTCCTCTAAATGTATGATCGAATGAGGACTTGTGAGGGGTGGTACTGTTTGAGGGGAGCTGTATGGGAGGCATAGGAGGGTAATACTACCGGTAAAGGTATCCTTGGCCTGTAGGCAGAGAGGACCTGCATGTCCTACATAGCCATAGACTCAGACAGGACAATAAAATGAATTAATAAAAATAGCCAAAAAAAGGGAGCAGATGCGCCATACATATCATGGGACAGCGCTTGAAGATGAAGACCTGTGGTTATTGCCCTAAGATAGTGTCTCAGTAATGAGCTTGGGGTAGCAATTGGGCCAAAGCTATTATTTGACTTTAAACGCAGAACGTACAATCTTGTTGTCAGATCATTTTGAATTCTGAAATTTATATGACTAATAGAGAAAAGGATGATCCTTTGTGTAAGAATGATTTGTACCCATTGCAGTTGGTACACTCGACAAACGTATTTCTCCCGGGCAACAAATTATTTCAGACAGTATATAGAGGCACAGATACAACCAACGCCAACTACATGTGAGAAGTCGAGACATCTGGGTCGGCTCTCAGCAATGAGATATGTACAAAGACTAAAAGGCGCCCAAGGTTTTGCGCAAGCAGCAATGGCGTTTGCGCAGCAACGTTATGAGGCTAATGGAAACATGATTCGCCAACAGCCCAAGAAGTTCCGAGTTGGAGATAAGGTCTGGTTGGATCATCGCCATACAAAAACCCCCCAACTATCGAAGAAGTTAGCGTGGCAACATGCAAAATATGAAGTGACAGCTGTCCCTGATGCACTGACAGTTGAGCTGAACGTGCCGGGAAATATCCATAAACGATTCCATGTGGAATTTGTGAAGCGAGCCGGCCCAGATCCATTTCCGAGTCAATTTAGAAATGATGCTCAGAACCCCCCATGATAGATGACCTGGAGGAGCCCGAGTACGAGGTAGAGTCAATTCTACGTGCGAGAGCTATTCTTCTTGGCCGTGGGAATTATCGACAAGCACTAGTGAAGAGGTTAAGCGAAGCAAATCCGACATGGGAGCCGGTGGAATTTATCGAGGAAACCAAAGCTCCCGATGATTTCGAGGCAAAATATGGACCAATTACAACAAATAACGGTCCGCCAGAGGATAGTGTCGCAGCGTTTGTTGAACTAGGGACTTTTCACAAGCGTCGGAACCGCATTAATAGATTCCACGGCCGCGAGGACCAAGGAAAAATCCAAAAAAAATTAGTCTCGTCTACAACTTTGGAGTATTTGTTTCAAACTGGAAATTAACTACACGCACATACGCAACAAGTGGAGGGGGAGGGGAATTGCAACCGCTAGTGAGCCGGTAATTATTCAGTGTCAAATGATGATAATCACGTGCTGTACAAATCTTCGAAACTCGATATTCTTTCATAGATCAATTGGGACGTCACTAGAAATTTCTAGTAACTAGTAGTAGGACTGTGAACCAGCCTCAGTGGAACATACTAGAAACTGGTTACAGGCGAGAAGAATATTCCAGATAGTATAGTAAGTGTACAAATAGTTGAAGTGGGACTTGCGCAGGCAGGCACAGAGAAAATAATAAACTACCTTCGTATATCTGATTGCTCCAGCACCGAAACTCGAACCGTGACAGCTGGCCACTAATTATACGCCTACGCTAACATTTATATCCACCGGGGAAAATAAAGCGTGGCGCACAAATCTGAAAAGCAGCTTTTTCGGATGGGCGTGAGGGAATCGGGACAAGCTTGCATTATGATGCAAAGAATGGGAACAATCTCAACGGGGGTGAGACTTGGAATTTTGGAAAAGAGATTTACATTGAAGTGTGCTGTGGTGTGCTGGTGATGGCTAGGATTACGATGCTCAAGGTCAATGATCACTGAGAGTGAAGGAAGGACTCTCCAGGTAACTCCGTCATGAGTAGAGGAACAATGGGGCACTGTATGGAAAGTGATTAGGTTATACTATCAGATGGAGGATACTGGAATATTCCGTGAGACTGTTTTTGGAAAATACGGCGGGAGTCTAGCTACCTCAGACGTGCATATAAGTAGCATTTTTACTTCCGAGATCCTCATAGTTCTGAATATCAAATTATAAGCAGTTTGCACTGATTCATCAATTATCATTTCTAAACCTTCTGCCAAAAACTCCTCAGTAAGCTATTACCTTTACAACAAATTGTGCGCATCAAGCCTTCGATTGCGAGAATGCAGCTGTCACAATAAAATTCCCAACGATGGAAGGCGCCGTGGTCTACATCCTGGTGGTGTTATATGGTAAAATTCGATCAAATGTTGGAGATGGAAACATAGAGTGTTTTAGACGTAGGGGCCCTCCATTTAGTCAAGTTTCTCGATACGATCTTGTGTGTCTTAAATGGGACGGAATATGTAATTTTGAAGCATTTCAGGCTTTCTAATGGATACATGAACGGCTGCATAACGTGGGCACAGGGAATTTATTGGAGATTTTTTATACCCAGATGGCGCAATGTTCGTTTATGATGCGGCTTAGGCTGTTATGATATAGACAATCTGTAACAGCTATACTACCGAGTCATTCCTGTAGTCTAGGCCTGTTAGTATAGACATAAAGTCATAATAGGGCCCATTCATTGTAATATCAGTATATTTATTACCAATTCATGCAGCTACAGCAAACTGATGGGGAAATCTCTAGAAACAGGGCATTGGTCTATTTAAAATCTATAAAATTCCATTTTTGTGCTTCTTCTTTGGATAGAGTATAAACTACTAATGAATACCTTGTGGCTCATGTCTCTTTACCTAAATCCATGACACTACCTCTGGGATATCGCATAGTGCCCGGTCAGCCGAAACATGCCGTGCGTCCATTACTATACATAAGACGTTGTAATGGTTTTGATGTTGTGATAGCAAAAGCTGCCATTCGACGTACTAGTCAGTTGCTGTTTTTTTTGTTCATTAACGTGCGAGGTATAGTGATTCTTGTTGCACTACTACTGGAGCTTAAGCACGTGTGGGGCCGGGTCGGATCAGGTTAACTACCGTAAATTACATCTACCTTGTCCCAACTGAATGACCGGACCACCTCAGACTTCACCCATGTGTTCAATCATGTCAAGCCCAACCGTCCAGAGAACCCTCTTTTGACGCGCCGAAGCGCAAATTTTTCCTCAGCCTCGGTCACCACGCGCCCGAGCCCTTGACATCCTCATTGACTCCGAAATATAAATACCGTCCAAGATCTCATCGTTGCTACAGCCTTGCACTTTCATATCGTGCCGTCGGGTCGTTGTCGTCATTGGAGATTTGTATAGTCCCCTCGGTGTATCTTCCATTTTCTTCCTCCTTGGCACACATTCTATTTCCATCATGACTTTAATCATTAGGGCGTGTGTAGGTAGGTGAGGTGACGAGTATAGAGGTGGGCCGCAGGTGTGAGATCGGCTGAGAAATGAATCGTCGCAAATGTATAAGGAGTTTGAGAGATGTCGGATGTTTGAATACGACCCCCAACCAGACCTAAGCCCATTCGTGAATCGTATGTTGGAGGTGATGAATTTTTGTTCAACTTTGTTCCGGCTGT